CGCAGGAGATGTGAGGGTCGAGCGGCGACATAGTTGCTGCAGCGCGGCGCCATCGCAGTTGGTGATATGAGTATTGCCGGTCGAAGTCACACCGTTGATCTGAGTTGTGAGCATCGAAGTTAGCTCTCATAGCGGCGTTACGGCTAGTTGCGCAGGCAAATGTTTTTCTTGTGATTTTTTGACATTTTTTCTTACGTTTTTGAGGTGGTGGTTGTGTAGGTAGAGGTTTTCACTGTGATTTTGCAGTGATGTGCAGTGGTATTTCTTGTTATTTTTGGACTTTTTTGTTGCTTTTGAGGTGGTGGTTGCACACGCGGTAATAGTGTGCTGTGATAGTGGTGGCGGTGGCGGGTTTGTGGATTCTTGGTGGGGGTGGTGGTTGGGTGTGGTGTAAATGGAGATAGAGGAGATGGTGGTGGTGGTTGTGGTGGTGTGGTGTGGGTGGTGTGGTGTGCGATGGTAGTATGTTGTGGGCGTGGTGGTGTTACGGGTACAATGATGCTAATGATGGTGGTGGCAAGAGATGGTTGTGCTCATGTTTGTGGAGTGAACTGTCCAAATGGTCACTGAACTTTCCAAAAGGTTTCTAAGAGGTCACCGAACTTTAAAAATCACCTAAATGGTCACTGAACTTTAAGGGTTTCCCAAGGATCACTGAATTCAGTAACCTCGTGGAAACATTTTGCAAAGTTCAGTGGCTATTTAGGTTATTTTTAAAGTTCAGTGACCCAATAGAAACTTTTTACAAAATTTTAGTGATCATTTAGATGATTTTTAAAATTCAATGAACTCTTAAAAACTTTTGACAAAGTTTAGCGATCATTTGGACAATTCACTCCATGTTTGTGAGATAATGGTGGTTTTGGAAGCGATGGTGCCCAACTATTGTTGTGTTGCTGTTGATAATGATGGCGGTGATGGTTGTATTGGCAGTGATGGGTGGGGGTTTGTGATCAATAATTAGACATATGTGACCAACTATTTAGGTGTTTGTGACAAAAAAATAGTGGCCGATCAGTATCAGGGTTGGGTGTTTGGTGCATATGACCAATAATGTTGTTATTTGTGATTAAAAAATAATTTGTGATCAACAAACTGTGACCAATGTGACTTGTAAATAAAATGTAACATGTAATTTGAATAATCCGCGACTTCGAAATAATCTGTGACTTACAAAATTTTTTATTTGTGACCTCGAAACAATTTGTGACCAATTAAGTTGACGATATGTGATCTATAAATAAATCTGTGATAAATAATTATGAATCTGTGACCATTAATCGAATAACTGTGACTTTATTATCTTTATTTAATAAACATTTTCAATTAATTACCTAAAACCTGATTTTTGTATTAATGAAACTTGTAACATGAATTTTGAATTAGACATAGTTAAAACCTAATTTGTGAACTCTTCCATGTACACTATACTTCAGCCCTAGTTGTGATCCAATTTTTTTGGAGTCCAATTCCTTTGATCAAACACAAAATAATAAGTCCAGCCCTTTTTGTTCCAGCCACGTGATGGTATTTATTCCAATTAAAGTCCATTTGCTTTAGAATTTCGTCCCAAATACAAATCCAAACTTGAGGCCCATTTAAAGTATACTTTCATCAAGTCCTCAATTCTTTCCAATAATGCAAGTTAATCCTTGATACAATTTTATTTGTGCAATCATCGTCTTTCTCAAATTCAAACTTGTGGAAATTCATCCCAAATTATAGATTTTACTCAATTATATCCTTCTTCCTTTCCACTTACTTCAAACGGGTCCGTCACTAAAAAAACAAAGAAAATTAATCTAAATTAAATAGAAATTAATAATGTAACGACTTAAAAGTTTAATAATGTGGCATAAATAAGTGCACAAATTGCACTCATCAAATAAATGCTTAGAAGACCTATGAATCAAAAGGAGATTTCAAGGGAGGAAAACATCGAGAAATTCACAATGTGGAGCATCAATTGGAAGAGGAAGAGATTTTTGGTGCAAGATCTATTTTTTCTTCCGCATCTTTATGTATTCTATGACGATTAATGATTTTTCCATATTTATTATGAATAGTTAAATTTATTGTTATGGCGAATAATGTAATAAATTGAGATCCTTTATATTCTTTTATTTAGATTATTAGTTTTTAATTTTTCCATTTGTTGATTTTACTATAAATTGAATGCATTAAATTATCTAATCAATAATTTGATGATTTTGTGAATTCTTTACAAATAGAAATATGCGTTTAGGATTTAGATCATGTAGTAAAATTCAACAAATTGGTATAACAAGTAGAGATGCCTATACCAATTATTGCTATCATAATTGGATTCTTAGGATAAAGAACTCATTTAAATAAACTTGATTAGTATAGAGATATGGAATTGAATTAGGTAAATATGCTTAATGAGAACTTGAGATGGGTAAATTGAATACAATAGGAGAATTCAATTGAACACTACATTAGATGTGAATCTAAATTTGAGATGTAAAAGTGATCAATATGTGAAATTATTTTGCCCTAAGTCCATTCATTATTTGATTTTCCAAACAAATGTATGTGCATCCATTTATTTTCTTGAATTTATATTAAAACTCAAATCCTACAATTTTTTTATTTGTTTTCATCAAATAGTAGTTAAAAAAAATAATTGAATTAAGTGCTAGAAAAATAGTCGTTGTAGGATTGACAACCCGAATTCTTAGGTCCACTATTGCTTGTTACGGTTCGTACACTTGCGGAAATAAAATTGACAACAATAATGTAAAATTTTATGTTGACTTTTGTTTGTGTTTAGAAATTTGTTCTCATTTTATCACACATATGTGAACATGTCATCCGTGACGTCATTACATAGAACTTCATTTCTTAGCACGCAGATCCATAGAATGATTTTATCTCTATGAGTTGTACTTGGATTTGCTCTTGTGTAAACGGTCGAGATCAATATTTTTTTAACCTTTATTCACTATTTTGAAGTTGATGCATTTCACCTCTTTATCTCAAGAAATGAAAAGATGAGAAAGATTTCAGCATTTTTCACTCATGTCTCTCACTGCCCGTAATTTGCAACTCAATCCAAGGAAAATATTGGAAAAGTGGTCCCAAAGATTTTGCATAAACCCTAGGTTACATGCTGAAGAACAATAGAGAAGAAGTTGTAAAATATTAGCATGCCTTGTACGTACCAAAATCATGTATTAACAGGTTCAAGTGTTTGAAAAATTAACCCTAATCCTTTTTTTGGTGAATGGTAAACCTAATTTTGAGTAATTATCTGTGATGAGAAACATCGAGTATATGTGCCGACTACAAGGTTTATTGCTGCTCGAGAATGTGTGTATGTGATAAGAAATTGAACCCTAACTATGTGCAGTGTTCGAAACTACAAATCAAATGTAACTGAGACAATTAATGAAAAAGAATAAGGGAATCGAAATATATAATCAAACTATTGTAGACGTAACGAAAAAAGTTTTGATCTTTGGATAAATATGTACAACATAAGTCAAGTTGAAGTACACAGGAGTTACCAAATTACCTCAACATTTGGGGAGATGACAGAACTAAACCATGTTACGGATTAGCCAACTAGAAGAGAGATTGGAACCAACACTCATAGATGATCCAACCAGATGAAATTAAGGATTAATCGGGAGGTAAACTTAAGAAATGACGGAATTGAAAAGCTGCTGAGACTAATGAGATGAGTACGTAGATGATGCTCATATATAAAGAAATCAATAAATTGTACAGAGTTGAGGTTCCATCCAAAAATGTTAACGTGGTAGGTGTCATCTACAAGATGTCTAACTGATGTGGGACTTAGTTTGCACTTTGGCAACACGAATAGGGCAAAACCAGGCAAGCATGTCAGAGACCCGCGCCATTAAATGTAGAGGAAGCTTGAATAGAGACACAAAATGAACCACAGCGTCTGCCACTGCGGCTCATCACCACCAGAAAGATAACCATCATCCACACATCAACAAAAAACATAACAAACAAACCAAAATAAAAAAAGAACAAAGAAGGCAAAAAATAAAAATACCACAGACTGAGAAAAAAGGCTGCTGAAAGCCCATCTTCCCTCAAATGAAACTATGTTTTTAGGTAATCAACTATTTAAGAAAACATTGATTACTGCTGATATTTTGTCTCTCGTGTCATATTCGAAATTATAAATTGAACATAACTATGAAAACCATGAATTTACTAAGAGAATTTGTGATTTTTTTTTTTTTTTTTTTTTTTTTTTTTAGTATATAATTTACAAAGAGATCAATCCTTTATTTTAGGGTTTAGGGAAATAAAATTTAGTAATTAGACAATCCAACTATAAAAGAAATAATCACAAATTTTTTTCAACATCTATATGTTCAGAAGGTATGGCCAAATATGCAAATTTGTTTCCCTCTTTTTCTATTATAAACAAATCACTGTATTTTTAGTTTGCCATTGCAAATTAAACCCAGAATTCTATAGGATATGATGGATTTCAGAAAGTAAACTAGAAGCTGAGGGAGACGAGTACAGTTGGATGACTGAAAGTGTAATTTTATCCTTATTTTCGTTGATCAAAAAATGAGCAATAGCCATAAGGATTATCTACGATCAGCAATGCAATTTGAACAATGACATCATTATCCTGATTGTATAGCCAAGATCAAGTTAGAACCTCTTACTGAAGCTAGTACAGATCTAGAGGGAGAATCTGAGAAAGAGAAAAAGAGATCCGATTTGCATTTATCCAACTCAAACAATAGATGAAGAAATAAATTTTACAATGTTAATAATGTTCTTTGGATTGGGTTTCATTAATCTCATAACAATTAGCACTTTCTTTATGCTTATAAATCAAATACAAGCTCTGCATTCCCAAATCTTCAAAAACTAAAGAAAATTTTTATCAAAAAAAAGAAAAAAAGAAAAAGAAAATTAGTAAAGCTACATATATCATCGAGATATCTTTTGATGTAACAAGGTACATAGCTTCCTTAAATTCCAAAAGTTGCAAGAAAAAGAGGATTCATTCATCAATGAAAAGTTTGAAAAATCACCTTCAAAATACTTGTCACAGTTCATTTAAGGGCCCGTTAAAATCTTGTACAATATTTACTCAACTCTTACTTCGGTTTAGCAGATGAGCTTCCGCCCTTCTCAAGAATTCCTAACTCTAATAGGGCAGAAGATTTGGGCTTCAGGCCGAACCCATTGCTGTTGACTCCATCTTTTTCTTCACTACTTGAGGCTTTCTTTTGTTCAGCTTTCTGTCTTTCAAACTCCCTAAACTTGTGCAAGTACCTCGACATAACCTCGGAGAAGTTATCAAATCCTAATGTACTAAGAGCCCAACAAATGTCATCTCCATTCACTGTCTTTCGATTCTCCTTGTTACATTTGTCCGATGCTTCAGAGCTTACAAAACTTATAAATTCTGAGACACATTCTTGCATTGTTTCTTTAGCTTCTTTGGAAATTTTGGCATTCTGGGGGAGGATGCGCTTCATGATCCGCCCTACATTGGCTATTGGAAGCAATTTATCTTGCTTGTCAACCATTTCTAGAAACAGATGCTATCAATTAGATCTTCTTTTAACTCGTATACATGTAACTTATATATATATATAAACTTCTATACAGTGACAGTGACACGTGACTGACACGTATTATAAATTTATAGTAGGCATTTTTATAATATTATAAGCATTAATACAATTCTCATGTACATGAAATTAAGCTAGATATGTGAGGATGCAAGAGCACTATCAAGAATGGGAGGCATAACTTGGTGGTTTATGCATTATTGGTATGTATGTCATGTCAATGGCCCTAATTGCAAAGTGATTGTTCTTTATATATATATATATATATATATATATATATAGTATAATATTTTGCTTTATACTCTAATGGCCTATGACATCAATAGGGGTTGGTTTTATCTGAACCACACTAGAACCAGACTCAACTATTTGTTGCATTCGATTCTAGTTAAAAGTAGTTGAGTTCTAGGTTTTAAATTGAGAACTGAGTAGTTTTGGTCTACTTCTAGATGCTAACTACATGATTGAATTTTGATTCGATTTCAAAATTAAGTTCTTATAATATCTCAAATAAAGAATAATTTGTATGAATTTATATTCATTTAGAATAATTAACAATTTTGTCACCTTAAGAAACGTGTAAAAAGGTGAAAGAAGAAAATTTACACACCTACAAACCAACGGTTCTACTTTCGTAGTTCAATTTCTAAGAAATTCGAATCGAACTATCCACTATTCACCTCTGTCCTTGGATCCAAATTCTCCCACCCCGACCCCACAGAGGTAAGAAGAAAACAATCTGATTTTCATTTTGAACATTGAAAACAGTCTGATTACAACTTGTTTGACTAAATTTTTCTCTCGTGACACGGTAAAACCGTTCACTCACTGATATGGACATGAGAATCTAACTTACAGTTATTTACAAATGTGAAATCATAAGTACGATTCTCTCCAAGTGGACAAGATAAAATTTTCCATTGTGGATAGGAGAATATTTCTAGCTTGTTTGATAATCATTATTGTAGAAAAAAAGTTTTTTGAATAGTGATTTTTAGGAGAATTTGTGATTAAAAAGTAATGAAAAGTTTTTAGTATACATGTAAATATTTTATTCTATGAATGTGTGGTTAAAAATGATCCTCGAATAAATTATAAAATAAATTAATGTGTTTCAAGCGGCACTAAATCCACTAGGATTCAAATTCACAATCGGGTTTTTGGGAATGAAATGACTTTAGAAAACTGATGCCCTAAAGAAATGGTTGATGTGGTCCCCACCTCTTCCCAATAATGAATAATCTCAAAGCTTTAACACTCCCATTGGGTCTAATCTTGATTATAAAATTGTTAGTACAGTCTAAAATGAATGGACTGCATTGATGCACGTCTGCTTGTTCTCTGATGGATTTAGAAATAGTTTTTGATTGGCTAAAACTGGGGTTTTGTCAATCTATTTCAGTCAAATTCTTGAGCCATGGAATCTGATTCATATATATTTGTTAATCTAATTCCATTACTTGTTTTATTGTACATAATTAACAGTTTCTTAACTAAAAAGTTGATTAAATGAGCCGAGTCCGCTTAACACATTTTCATTTCAATACATCCCATTTTCTTAGTAAATATGAAGACGCTGATATATTTGTTGATATCTAGCTAGATATAACTTTTCCATTTGCTAA